CAAAGGGGTCAAACAAACTCCGGCCGTATTTTTCGCGCTATTTTCTTGTTGAATTGATGTGTCTACGGAGTTGTTATCGTTGTATACACATGTTATACACACCGGTTACTACGTATTTTTACACGCAAAATCGAGTTTTAATGTTGACGAGTCGATATATCGATTTTTTAAGATTCTTTACGGAAAATCGACGATTTTTTCGGATTGGAATTGTTCATTTTTGATTCATGGATTACTAAATGCACCTAACATTACTGTAGTACACCGACACCTACGTATTTTTTTTTGTAGACTCGATTTTTAACGTCCACGAGTCGATTTATCAATCAATTATATCGAATTTTTGCGATTTTCGAGGCAAATTAATGATAAATTGGTATTAAAATTGGTTATTCTCCATCCGAGAACAACCAAATTTTGGGTTGGAACACATTTTCGGTCGGGCCGATTTCCAGGTGAGTCAAGTTTTCGATTGGTGCACATATTCGATCGAGTAGAAATTATGATTTTCGATTTCCGGTCAAGTAAAATTTCGGGTGGATAACGAATCCCGTTGATTATGGTTTCCGGTCGGTCAGATTTCCAGGTGCCAGGGGCGCGGCCCCCGGCTTTGGCTCCTTAGTTGCAAGGTGGGCTGCCCCCGGCTTTGGTTCCTCTAACGAATATCAAATTACATTGCTGTAATTCGCACCACGTTGCCTGAAGTTAATAATTCGCCTTCAAATGGGCGGGTATGCAAAATGACTGCCGTGACGCACGAATAGTGGTATCAGAATTTTGCATTATGTTTACGGATTGATTTGAAGGCGCTCTTCTGTATCCATCGTGACTGGCCTTGTACAATGTTGTTGACTAAAACGTATATAATTTTAGCATGGGAATGGAATACCCCTGTCTTTTCACGTTCTTCTGCTACGGTTATTTAATTCCCTATGTCTCTGTGACCTTGGGCGATTCGCCGAATGTTCGATTTTTGGTTCATTTTCGGATGTATCTAAAATTCTTGTGTTTTTTAGTCAATCATGTCTCTACGTCAGGTTGTGTAGTATTCTAAAATTCGCCTTCCGCGAGTTTTTTTCGCCTTGAGATGTTTTCTGTCATTATAAGCTTCCACTTCAACCTTGCGCTTGCTTTCCGCGAGTTTTTTTCGCCTCGAGATGTTTTTCGTTATTATAAGCTTCCACTTCAACCTTGGTTCGATGGTCGAATCGAATACCGAAAAAGGGGCGAAATTTTGGGAGGCTCTTTGTCTAATTTTTCACCTCTTCATATGAAACTGTAAAACAACTCTTTTATGCGTTCTTATGAATAGCGGAATCCATATTGCACAAGAAACTGCAGAAATTTGTTTTAAAAAACTATAAAAACTCACCTGCGTGCCCAGACACGTTTCTGCCAGTGTAAGACGTTGCGCCACCCAAGACGAGCCGGTAGTCCTATATCGCGTCTGGTTTCTTATAATTTCCCGTGAAAGTTAGTTTTCACAGTATTTTAATATGCATACTTACATTTTACGAAATGTATGTTTCAGAAAGTCTCCTTGGACAACTTCTACAAAATTCTGAAGGGAGACAAATCGAGCAAGGGAAAAGTAATCGAACCGTAAGGAAAATTAATTAATTCAAATCTCCAAAGAATATTACAGGAGCTATAGGTAGTGACATTCAAGCTGAAAATCCTTATTTCAAGTACGATTTTATCCACGGGAATGGAGCCTTTGATCCACGGAAGCAAAATTGTCAGGGAAATTATTATTGTAGAGGCCCGTTGGAAACTTCGATTTTAAGATTTTAACATAAGCTGCGACTTCATTTTTTAGCAGACGGGGGGCGAAAGGTCGCGATACAATTTGGCTGTCATATACACGCTGAGTGTTGGAGATTTTCAAACAACTTTCTCCAAAAACTATGTTTTTTGAACTCCAAACTAAAAAGTGACGTACTAGTTTAAAATGTTTAAACTTTGTTCGTCCTTGAATTATGTAGAATAACCCTTTATGATTTAGTATCAATTACTTGATTTTCATGGACTGAGATGATTTTTTTCACGGACGCTCATGAGAAAATATTTACATAAAAACCCTCTCACGCACCGTCTACACTATGGATACCGGCGAAATAACTGGTTTCTATGAAAAATACACTTTTTCATTTGGTACAGATGCTATGTAGAAAATGCTTGCGTAGTAATGATTCATGAATGCCGCAAGGGCAAATTGATCAAACTGGATTTTTTTGTACCATGACCTTGAAGGTACTTCCGGAACATCACACCGCCAGCCTCCTAACATGAAAGTATATCTCGTGGATCAAAATCTCCTCTCGTCTAAAACTGACTGAAAAGAAACGTTTGGATATGAACATGCAGAACCACTGTTTTTCAAATAACATCAATTTTGACAAACTTGCACCCCATTGCTAACTATTTTTTCATTGGTTCTAGGAATGCTCAGAATCGGATATTCATCTTCTTCACAGGAACTGGTGGGAAAGGAGGGTTTTCGCGACTGATCGGTGAAACCATTTGGGCAGACAGTTTCAGCAAAACTCTCCTCGATTTGAAGAAGAATAAAAAAATGAAAGAAGTGAGCATTCATCAAATACTTTCCATGTCTAGGCATTCTAACTTCGCTGAGTTTCCGTTAATGAGCCATTTAGAGGATCTAGCATACTTTTGCGGTTTTTCATTCAATTTTATCGACACCATTGAAAGTAATATTTACAGTTGTTCTCTCCAAAGCTAATTATATCGATTTTGCCAATTATTGTCTCTCTCGCCACAATGAATAATGCAGAAGTCGACACATTTTTTTCATTTGACTCTAAAAGTAACCTCAATAATTTTTCATCTACCTCAAGGTGGATTGAATTTGAAATTGGAAAAAAAGAAGAGAGTTATTTTTTTTTAAAAAAGAGAGAGAGAGAAAAATGACTCGTTTCATTATAATAATTGGTGGGTGGTCGGTTTTATCAACACGAAATAACAATTCACCAATCATTCTATCTCAACACAATAATCTAAATCTGTCTAATTTGATAATTAAAACATATAGTGTTTTTTACATAGGCCCTTGTCTATTGGGAGAGCAGTCATTCAGGGGCAATGTTTGATACGTACTTACCATACTCAAGTGGCAGTAAGTATATTTTACATTCATTTTATTCAAAATTGTTGCCTCTTCCTTCATTTTCTTTGACGATTGATGCAATCCAAATCAACCCGAGGCAGAATCTCTGTCACAGAGAAAAAATTATTTGGTAGATATTATCCACCAAATAGAATGAGCCGATTAACTTTAATTTTTATGAAATCAATGGATCATTAAACTTACTAATTACCGTCGATTTCTTAGTCTTCAAATCCCTTTTGATTAGACGTTGGTATAAAATTTGTTTTTTACAGAAGTTTCATTAAGAAGAAGAATAAGAAAAAACACTTCTACGCCCTCGTCGGCTACGCTGCATAATCCTCCTTCAAAAAAAAAAAATATGATGTATTGCAATAAAGTGAATAAAGACATAATTCTGTTCCGCCAACAAACGCCTTCATTTCCGAGTGATACAACACCTATCTTCTGGTTGCGCGAATATTGATATTCCCGTAATCAATGTTAAAGCTCAAGTTGAGATCAAACATTATCATACCACTACTCAATTCAAGAAATTTTATGATTAATTTAAGAAGGCATCTTCCTGACGGTAAAAAAATAATATTTCTTTTTAAATAATACCTATTAGAGGCATAGTTTCTTCTATGAAGTTAGTTTGAACAGATGAAGACGGCAGTTGGTAAGACACGCCGTGATTTTTTTGTTCAAAATTCAATAGTAATCGTTATGATAACTCACGTCGATAAAAAATAAACAATTTTATTTTTTCCACAGTTTTAGCGCTGACATCAGCAGCGGCAGACGAAGACTCGTTTGGATGGTACTGCAACGTTGATGATATGCCTGTATGCCTTGCCGGTCATTTCAGCAGTTGTTGGCTGGACAATGCAGACCAGGTGAGCTGTTCATATGCGCACTTTCTACTCTAAAGGAGTTAGAATTATTATTTGATTATTAATGATTAAACCTCATAATCAAACAATGCATATGAATCAGAAACAACAAACATAAGACTCCAAAAAAGTAACCATGGGCGGTTTTAGATTAAGGTGATTCGATGGACGCCATATTTTGTGTCAGAACGGCATGCGATATATCGCGCATCAATTGGTTCCATTTGTTCAGCTACTCGTCATTTTTCTCCAATTTTGAGATCGCAATTCTGTTGTCAGGAGACTAAAGCACTCACTTACTAATTTTAAGAAAGAAATTCAACGTAACAAAGGCGTGGTTTTTTTAGAGGAAAAATATCGCATTCGAGTGCAGTTTCGATGTCAGTATCGAATGCCATATTTTTCCTCTAAAAAAACCACGACTTTATTACGTTGAATTTCTTTCTTAAAATTAGTAAGTGAGTGCTTTAGTCTCCTGACAACAGAATTGCGATCTCAAAATTGGAGAAAAATGACGTGTAGCTGAAAAAATGGAACCAATTGATGCGATATATCGCATGCCGTTCTGACACAAAATATGGCGTCCATCGAATCACCTTAAGGTAAGTTTGATCATGTACGTTCTTACGTAATGTTCACCAAACAACATGTCCACGGTGAAACTGCCAAACCACGTATCTCGGTTTGCGACGTCGCAGACTTCCTGTCATACTTTATTTTTTAAATGAAAAACTACTTAACATCCAGTCTTGAAAATTTCTGTGATTTTTCCTCTTTGTGCGGAGAAAATTCCGTGAAAATTTCAAGGAATGATATTAATTTGGTTTACTTCAAAAAAATAAAATGTGAGCGTAGATTTTTAAACACCGCAAACGAGATACGTGGTTTGGTAGTTTCACCGTCGATGTATGTCATGGAATAACTTCAATTGCTGGAAAAGTCGCAAGTACGACTTTTGATGTATATGTGCGTTAATGGAAACGATCTACATATTAGGTACTGATTTAAAGTTTCCTCGAACTGCTCACGTGGTTTTAAACGGAGGCGTCTCCCCCAAAATCGTCATTTCCCGGACGAATGAACGTAACTCCATTCCAAAGCTGCAAAATTGAGATAAGCTATTTAATTTTTTACAAGGACGCACCTCTGCAATTTTTTCAGATTTTTTCTTCTTCTGATTTTCGCATGAGCTCAAAAAAAATTCAGAGACATTTCCATCCAAAAATGCCGAACATATAAAACTGCAATTTGTGTAGGGCATTCGGCAACAGTGAAATTCAGTTACGTTTTTCTGTGAGGGAAACGACGAAATTGACATATTTCAGCCAAACGGAACTATGTGCATCATGACGTGAGCCCTGTTATGCATACATTATTCTGCGTCTCAGGGCTCATGTCTTAATGCACATGGTTCCGTTTGGTAGAGGTACGTCCAAATAAACGAACGGAAATACTCTTTGTAAAAATGATCAACTCAATACTATTTGAACAGAGTTTAACAGACATGCGCCGTGTCGTATTTTGGGGGAAAACGAGCTAAGAATCAAAGAGTTTTGAATGCAATTGGTCCTAAATTTTTTTCAGCCAAAGTTTATCAAAGTCGCTTATGAATTCAGTCGCTAAACTTGTTATTTGAAATTGTGTGTCATGGAGGAGTGGAGGTTCAAACCTCCTTTTCTTTCTCAGACTAGATGCAACTTTTCCGATCCTAGGTCCGTTTCTAGTGCATTTGCTCTCGTGCATCTAATTGAATTCCAACCCGTCATGTTGTCCCTCCAGAAATCAGCCCCAAAACAAAGCATCTTCGAGCATCAAAATGGTGTTCGACAATGTGTGACCAGCAGCCATCCAAATTTGTACGGATCTTTTAAACTGGGCTTGAAGAAACTACCTTATTTCTTCGGTGGAAACAAAATGGCGGAGGACTCTAGATCTGATTTTGCTGCCCCTGATGAACTCTCAGAACAAGACTCTCTTAGAGTTGCTTCCGAAGAAAATACACAGGTATTATCATGGTAACAAGAGACTGCTTTTTTTAAAAAAAAGAACATTTAAATGCCAATTTTAACTGGAGTTTTCTTTCTTTTTTTTCCTTCAAAGAAGGATAGAATAACAGCGTAAATGTTTCGGTATCAAAATCCTTGGTGATTTTGCAATAAAGAATATTTCTCGCCTCCTCATTTGGTCCAAATTTGGTGATTTTGCTCTGCTCATATTACTGATTATGACAGTAAAAATGTCACTGACGGCGTTAATGGTGTAAAATCAATCGTCTAATTTGTTCATGCCAAAACTACATAATACACTAAATTATCTAAAAATATCACCCAATATCTTTGCCTCCATCAAGACTTCTTTTTGAAATTTTCATAAAAATATGCCTAAGATTTTAAGCAAAGAAAAAAAAAAATAATTCAGATGTCTGACAATATAGCCTCTGAGCTCGTAAGTGACATTTTTAAAAAAATTCAAGTAATTAATTTTCATCGATAATTTTGAGAATCCATTATATCCAGAGAGAATCAATTCCGTTTGAAGCCCCACTACACATCAGACAAAAGGAAGTAAACACAATTTGAAAATAGAGCGGGGAAAATGAGGCGAATTGATGACGGCGCAGAGATACGACTATTCATGCTTGATGGATGTCTGTGTTGCATCTGCAAAATTGAAGGCGCGATGGGGCGAGAACTCGCATTGCTCCGCTCTATGCTACCAATAAGATAACACCCAGATTCGGGAGAAAAGTTAAAAAATGAGGCCTGATTATGTGTCTCCTATCTTAAGCAGTGTTGTCACTTGTTCTTCGTATTTCTTTTTTCAATTTGATACCTAATTCTTATTTAGGATATATTTGTGGACCTATATCTAAACTCAGATGTACTCGGTCTCATACTACCCGTAAAGCACATGTTTTCAGTAAACGTCGGGTCAATTTGACACAGTTTGGGCACATAAGGGTTAATTCCCGAGCGTGTCTTAATTTTTGTGGATTATTATATAAAAACAACCATATTCTTAACCGCCAGCATAAGTTTGCAGGGGCCCGATATTACCCCTAAGAAAGCGGACGAAGCCAAGTAGAGAATGATGGAGGGGCAAGGATACTCATAAATATCAGTTACTCTAATTACTAGGCTTCGCTCAAAGTTTGCGGACAGAGCAAGGAGAAGTGACGGATTGAGGAGAGAGACAGAATCGGTGGAATTCATTTTAATTAGATGTACACGGGAGACCCAATTGAAATTAATCACGCCGGCTTTCAGGAGGAAAAAACCAAGGGACTGGCCGAGATAGACATCCCGGTCGCAATGTTGGAGGGACAGATCTCCAACGCCAAGTCTGTCGAGGAGAAAACACGGCTCGAGGAAGAACTTACGTTGTTAAAAAAGGTGAGCCTTGAGAGCTTTTGCTTTTAGTTACAATCACAGTGAGCAGAAACATTTTGAGCAGAAACACTTGAGCTCTTGATCAATAGTGGTCATGACCAATAAGAGTAAAATTTGTATCATTCAGTGATAGTGTTTCCAAAATTGCATGCACAAAGGTGACACTTTCATATTATGGTAAAAACACCACTATTTTCGGTTATGGTGACTTTTGACTATAAGAGTTCATAAGCAACACCATTAATTTGCCAATTTTTTTAGTCATAGTTTCTTCTGTGAGAGGACAAACTTTGCGCTGCAGATGAATAATGACTGATGTGTGTATTTAAAAAAAATTGGTCAAAAGCAGCCGATCTCCATTTCACGTACCGCAACATTTCCTCTCATGTGTTCCCTATTTAATAGAAAACCCATCAGTGTAAGACCTGAATTCCATAGTTCTTAGATAATTCTTTGAATAATAAAGAATATCGCTTTATCCTAAGTAGAAAAATGTGCATATTCGGTTGCAACCGTGTAAGACTCCGCTCACGGTTTATTTGTTGAAGAGACTAACCAGCAGTTTTTCTAGACATTTTCTGTAAATTTTCTCCACTAATTATTTTCATGAATTTTTAATTTCTCAGAGGAATATTTTCATTATTTAACTTTTAAAAAATAAATTATAATGAAGAATTTTAAAACGCTGCAATGAAGATGCGTATTTTCCTACTTAAACCGGTGATGTGCTAAAAAAAATCGAATCAGAATTTTGATTATTTCTCTGTTAGGAAGTATTGGACCACTAAACATATAGTACGAGTTGAAATATACGATGTATGTTTCCTCATCAAAAGTATGCGCTGAAAAGCCCTAGATACACGATTAAATTCCGAACCAATTCCGATCAAAGTAGACATGCTGATGACTGATGGTCATCATCTACCATCAAATTTTGACGGGCAGCACTATTTTGTTCAAAGTAAGATCGGAATGGAGTGCCATCATTCATCATTTCCTGCCACAGGAAACATTTCTGCCAAGTTTTCATTTTAAAATTAAGTAAATTAATGAGTTTAAGACTGATGACTTCCGACACTTTGATGGTAATTGGTTCGGGAATTTGATCGTCTATCGAGACCTAAAGCCATTCAAACAACGGTTAATATAAAAATCAACCCCCAAGTGAGATTAATATCTCGCTGATGAATATCGCGGTTGAAATCCATTTGATTAATGGTGAATGTACATGTTATTGCGTGGACATTTAGCACTGATCTAATGGAGCAGATATTACGCAAATGACGTCATTTGTAATTTTTCCAAGTATCTGATTAGCATATGGATGCAAATATTTCAGAGAGGCTATTGTTATCAAAAATTGAATGTTAAATGCGGGTCTTGACTTTCTAAGTGAAAACTTGAAACAATGAAACCCCTTACTAATGTTCCGGCAGTTGCGGAAATTTTTACATTTGGGGATCCGACGTTCCCTCATGGGTAACAAGAGCCATCTCTGAGTTTAGTTGACTGTTGAATTTCGGGTCTACCAGTATCGGTTTTTTAATTTTCTGTAAATATGACATTGTTTTTAGAATCGCAATTTGATGGATCAAACTATGGATAAAATTTTGGATCTGTCGATGGGAGGGTTGAAGGTTGACTTACAAGATTCTTCCTTTACTGAGCACAGGCGCTGTTTCAAAAAACTAGCTATTCAATTCCAAAAGCTCTGTTTTGACAACAGCGTAAGTATTACACCCAATTTGCGAACAGTCTATTTTTTATGTATGTATGATCGGAATACAAGTCACACAACGACGGCTATTTTGAGTTTCGAATGGAATTGTGAGATCTGTATGACTTATCTGTATCTGTTCCAAATTATGCTTATGCAGTGGTATTATGCACTTTCTGAGGTAGAAAGCTTAAACATGTGGAGCTTAACCCGCTTGTGAGGATCAAGTCACAAAAAAAAATTCGGTGGAAAATACCGAACTTTAGTTAATTTCTAACACCAAACTTTTTCGGTTTATGGTAACAAAAGAAAAATTCGCTTACCTACATCGGAAAACTTCGGTATTAAATATACACCGAAGTCTGGTATCTTTTGCAATTATTGTTTCTCCGTGTAATTTTTGGACTTTTTCGTATGAGCTTATGGTTATTTTTGAAAAGGCATCATTTTAAAGGAACTTGCGTTTTACTCTACTTGAAGTTTGTCGTAAGGAAAGATACAATTCAAACTTGGGAATAACAAATCTATTTTAGGTCTAAATACTTACAAAAGAATGAATTTTGAGGTACCATAAAACACATTGGAAACATTTATTTTATAATCCGTTTGATTTATTTCAGAACTACTACGTTGACCATATTCTGCCTAAGCTGTTTACCGTCTGCAAGGCAAGTGCCGAAGAGCGGGCAATAGAATCAATGTCAACTGTTTGCACCGAACAACACCGATCTCTCAAAAATGCAGTTTAAGCTCCTCCTTGAATAAAGAATTATAGTTGCACACATGTTAACGAAAACTTAAGTTTTTTGAAAAGTTTCACAATAGATTTCAAAACACGTAAAAACGCTATATTGTAACATCTTGATATAAATACAGGAATTTGTGTCTCATTTGTACGAATTAATGCTTACTAAACTCAAAGAAAACATTTTTGAAAAATCTAAACCTAAGTTAGGATTTCAGTGTGGTGGTAAATAAAAAAAAAACTTGTGCGTTTGCCAACTCTCTCCATTTTGCGATGAGGAACCATCATTACTCACTCAAGTATGAAAGCACACATCTGCAAACGGAAACTAATGGCGCATATGTCGATATTCAAATGAACCAGAAATAGTGGTTCCTCATTGCATTAAGTACATTCAAATTTGAGTAAGTCGAGGAGAAAGCGAATCTGAGTTCTCTTTGAAAATATTTTGCTATCAGTGGATTAATCTGTTTTTAAGTTACAAGGTTGAGCTTGGAGTGCTCACTGCTCATGACGTAGTGCTATTGACGAAAGAACGTAACTCCATTTCAATGTTGCCAAATCTCCCTTCGCAAATTGCATTTTCACCAGGAGAATCTAGGGCATTTCTGACTGAAAATTTCATGAATGATCAAATGAAAAAATTATAAGAATTTGGACAAAAATTCCAAAGGTTCATTCTTGTAAAAATCGAATTGTTTGAGTCAATGGACCACTAGATAAGGTACGAATTTCAGCATTCTGATACATGTTTCTTAACCAAAATTTTACGTAAAACACGATGCACACAACGAAAATTACCGAAATTAACTCCTTCCGAAGATATTTAATGATTCTTAATGCGTGAATTCAAACCACCCGCTCATGAAAACTCAATGCTCTACGTGATTCACACCGCGCGCTAAACGTTATCATGACACTCTCTGCGATATAGAAATCTGACAACCTCAATCCTGACGCTTTGGTTCAGCTATAGCAAATTGCTAATAGTTTGAACGACACACGGTGGGAAATGAACATTGCTCGATTGAGAAGCTTCTGAGACCGTTGTAGCGCGCGATTTGACTCACGTAGAGCTTCGAGTTTCTTGTGAGCGGGCAGTTCAAATTCCTTGTAACCAATGTAAAATAAAAACGTTAATATCTTCGTTAGGAGTTGGTTTCCGTAATTTTCGTTGTGTGAATCGTATTCTACGTGAAATTCTGGGTAAGAAACATGTATCAGATTGCGTAAATTCGTACCTTGTCTAGTGGTCCATTTTGCTACCTTTGAATCCAGTTACGTTCCTTCGTCCATGAAAAAACGATGATTACCACTCATTCGCAATGTTTTCTCTTAATTTTCGGCATTTTTCCAGAAAAGAAGTTCTTGACCTCTTGAATCTGGTTAGAAATCTCCGAACAGCTGTTTCATTAAAGTCGATAAGAAGCTCGGCTGTAAACGCCAAAAAACTAATCAAATGCCCTACGCTGAGGGCGATAAATGCGAGCTGCAAATCGACCATGTTGAAAGGTGTCGGCCCGGCCTCCGTCGAAAGATGGAGACGTTCGATGCCGAAAAGATGATGCGTCATACCCCCATCCCATGAAACTCTCTGTCCGGTTAGTAAACTTTCGAGCCATTTCTTTACTTGGCCTGTCTCGAGAAGTTGTACTATTTTCTCATTCATTGGCTCGAAGAAGAACGAATCTTTCGGCATTTTAAACGAAAATGGGTATGAGAGGAGGCATTCCTCAACACGATGCACCTCCATCCCTTACGGGACGAAGGGGGTCTTTAATAAGAAATTGTCTTGCGAGAGAAACATATCAGGGAAGCTCAGCACACAAGCATCCATCCCCATGTGCGCTAGTTCGTTTTTCCCTATTGCAGCAATGCCTCTGTTAAAATATTTATTTGCGTACATCATCGTTGAGCTTAGATTTGACAAGTTTCCGGTAAAAATATAATCATCACTCGTCGGGGCCGAATAAATATACCTGAAGCTCCGGTAAAAATAAAAATCTTGGATCAGCTTTTCCCTCAGTTTCCCGTATTGGGGCCATTGTTGGAACACGAAATCCACCTCAAAATAAAAAAGATAAATTCTGCTCAATGAGTNTTCCAAAATTGCATGCACAAAGGTGACACTTTCAAATTATGGTAAAAACACCACTATTTTCGGTTATGGTGACTTTTGACTATAAGAGTTCATAAGCAACACCATTAATTTGCCAATTTTTTTAGTCATAGTTTCTTCTGTGAGAGGACAAACTTTGCGCTGCAGATGAATAATGACTGATGTGTGTATTTAAAAAAAATTGGTCAAAAGCAGCCGATCTCCATTTCACGTACCGCAACATTTCCTCTCATGTGTTCCCTGTTTAATAGAAAACCCATCAGTGTAAGACCTGAATTCCATAGTTCTTAGATAATTCTTTGAATAATAAAGAATATCGCTTTATCCTAAGTAGAAAAATGTGCATATTCGGTTGCAACCGTGTAAGACTCCGCTCACGGTTTATTTGTTGAGGAGACTAACCAACAGTTTTTCTAGACATTTTCTGTAAATTTTCTCCACTAATTATTTTCATGAATTTTTAATTTCTCAGAAGAATATTTTCATTATTTAACTTTTAAAAAATAAATCATAATACAAAATTTTAAAACGCTGCAATGAAGATACGTATTTTCCTACTTAAACCGGTGATGTGCTAAAAAACCGGCGGTGTGCAGAATTTCGATTATTTCTTTGTTAGGAAGTATTGGACCACTAAACATAGTACGAGTTGAAATATACGATGTATGTTTCCTCATCAAAAGTATGCGCAGAAAAGCCCTATAAACACGATTAAATTCCGAACGAATTCCGATCAAACCTCCTTTCCTGATGACTGATGGTCACCATCTACCATCAAATTTTGACGGGCAGCACTATTTTGTTCAAAGTAAGATCGGAATGGAGTGCCACCATTCATCATTTCCTGCCACAGGAAACATTTCTGCCAAGTTTTCATTTTAAAATTAAGCAAATTAATGAGTTTAAGACTGATGACTTCCGACACTTTGATGGTAATTGGTTCGGGAATTTGATCGTCTATCGAGACCTAAAGCCATTCAAACAACGGTTAATACAAAAATCAACCCCCAAGTGAGATTAATATCTCGCTGATGAATATCGCGGTTGAAATCCATTTGATTAGTGGTGAATGTACATGTTATTGCGTGGACATTTAGCACTGATCTAATGGAGCAGATATTACGCAAATGACGTCATTTGTAATTTTTCCAAGTATCTGATTAGCATATGGATGCAAATATTTCAGAGAAGCTATTTTTATCAAAAATTGAATGTTAAATGCGGGTCTTGACTTTCTAAGTGAAAACTTGAAACCCCTTACTAATGTTCCGGCAGTTGCGGAAATTTTTACATTTGGGGATCCGACGTTCCCTCATGGGTAACAAGAGCCATCTCTGAGTTTAGTTGACTGTTGAATTTCGGGTCTACCAGTATCGGCTTTTTAATTTTCTGTAAATATGACATTGTTTTTAGAATCGCAATTTGATGGATCAAACTATGGATAAAATTTTGGATCTGTCGATGGGAGGGTTGAAGGTTGACTTACAAGATTCTTCCTTTACTGAGCACAGGCGCTGTTTCAAAAAACTAGCTATTCAATTCCAAAAGCTCTGTTTTGACAACAGCGTAAGTATTACACCCAATTTGATACCAGTCTATTTTTTATGTATGTATGATCGGAAAACAAGTCACACAACGACGGCCATTTTCAGTTTCGAATGGAATTGTGAGATCTGTATGACTTATCTGTATCTGTTCCAAATTATGCTTATGCAGTGGTATTTATGTACTTTCTGAGGTAGAAAGCTTAAACATGTGACGCTTAACCCGCTTGTGAGGAAAAAGTCACACAAAAAATTCGGTGGAAAATACACTGGAAAAAAAAGTCTGCTACGGTCAAGCGTATCGGAAGCTGCTCGGAATCTTGAGAAAAAATCAGCTTGATTCAAGAATTTTTATCTTAAAACAAGAACTTTATTGCTAAATTCAAGATTCGAGATTCTTAATTGCAGCTACCTTATAGCTTGGATCACCTGCTAGCTTGATTTAAGCAGCACAAACATCCTGAGTTAAACCTGCTGAGTCTAACATCAAGCCACCATGGCTGCTAATTCTAAAAAGTTGTTTCTTGATTCAAGATAATGTATACTCGATTCAAGATTCCTGGTTTCAAGCATGACACGAATCTTGGAAATGGCTGAAAATTAGACTTAAATTAAGTTTGCAGCCAACTTCTTAAATTAAGTTTCTATTGGATTGTAACCACTCCGCCTTCATTTTCGACACGGGCATTAAGTTATACATTCCTACATTCTCAAGTCATTCCAGGAAATCTCCAAAAGCCGCGCATTTTAACAGTGCCGCAAACTGAGAACAAAACCCGCGGCAACGCACGACGACTTCAACATGATCCATGTCGAAGAATCAGTAACGTTTTATCCCTACGTTACGGAATTTTATGAAAAATGAATAAAACTTTCAGTATTCAGTATTGGATCCGAGCATTAAACGAAAAATAATTAAGATTCCGCCGGGTAGCTAATTTCAAGCAGCACGGCCATGCTTATTTCAAGCTATACGTTTCTTGGCGGCAAATTTAAGATTTTTTCAAGCTTGCTTCAAGCTGATTTTGATTTGTTTCAAGCTACTTTTTTTTCCAGTGTACCGAACTTTAGTTAATTTCTAACACCAAACTTTTTCGGTTCAGGTAACCAAAGAAAAATTCACTTACCTACATCGGAAAACTTCGGTATTAAATACACACCAAAGTCTGGTATCTTTTGCAATTTTTGTTTCTTCGTGTGATTTTTGGACTTTTTCCGTGAGCTTATGGTTATTTTTGAAAAGGCATCATTTTAAAAGAACTTGCGTTTTACTCTACTTGAAGTTTGTTGTAAGGAAAGATACAATTCAAACTTGGGAATAACAAAGCTATTTTAGGTCTAAATACATACAAAAGAATGAATTTTGAGGTACCATAAAACACATTGGAAAAATTTATTTTATAATCCGTTTGATTTATTTCAGAACTACTACGTTGACCATATTCTGCCTAAGCTGTTTGCCGTCTGCAAGGCAAGTGCCGAAGACCGGGCAATCGAATCAATGTCAACTGTTTGCACCGAACAACACCGATCTCTCAAAAATGCAGTTTAAGTTCCTCCTTGAATAAAGAATTATAGATTCACACATGTTAACGAAAACTTAAGTTTTTTGAAAAGTTTCACACTAGATTTCAAAACATGTAAAAACGCTATATTGTAACATCTTGATATAAATACAGGAATTTGTGTCTCATTTGTACGAACTAATGCTTACTAAACTCAAAGAAAAAACTTTTTAAAAAGCTAAATCTAAGTTAGGATTTCAGTGTGGTGGTGAATAAAAAAAAACTTGTGCGTTTGCCAACTCTTTCCCTTTTTGCGATGAGGAACCATCATTACTCACTCAAGTATGAAAGCACACATCTGCAAACGGAAACTAATGGCGCATATGTCGATCTTCAAATGAACCAGAAATAGTGGTTCCTCATTGCATAAAGTACATTCAAATTTGAGTAAGTCGAGGAGAAAGCGAATCTGAGTTCTCCTTGAAAATATTTTGCTATCAGTGGATTAATCTGTTTTTAAGTTACAAGGTTGAGCTTGGAGTGCTCACTGCTCATGACGTAGTGCTATTGACGAAGGAACGTAACTCCATTTCAATGTTGCCAAATCTCCTTTCGCAAATTGCATTTTCACCGGGAGAAACTAGGGCATTTCTGACTGAAAATTTCATGAATGATCAAATGAAAAAATTATAAGAATTTGGACAAAAATTCCAAAGGTTCATTATTGTTAAAATCGAATTGTTTGAGTCAATTTTGCTACCTTTGAATGCAGTTACGTTCCTTCGTCCATGAAACAACTGGACGTATTTCTATCAAACGGAACTATGTGCATTATGACGTGAGCCCTGTTATGCGTGTATTCTTATGAGTCTCAGGGCTCATGTCTTAATGCACATAGTTCCGTTTGATAGAAATACGTCCAACTATGATTAGCACTCATTCGCAATGTGTTCTCTTGAAATAAAAAAGGCATTTTTCCAGAAAAGAAGTTCTTGACCTCTTGAGTCTGGTTAGAAATCTCCGAACGGCTGTTTCATCAAAGTCGATAAGAAGCTCGGCTGTAAACGCCAAAAAACTAATCAAATGCCCTACGCTCAGGGCGATGAATGCGAGCTGCAAATCGACCATGTTGAAAGGTCTCGGCCCGTCCTCCGTCGAAAGATGGAGACGTTCGATGCCGAAAAGATGATGCGTCATACCCCCATCCCATGAAACTCTCTGTCCGGTTAGTAAACTTTCGAGCCATTTCTTTACTTGGCCTGTCTCGAGAAGTTGTACAATTTTCTCATTCATTGGCTCGAAGAAGAACGAATCTTTCGGCATTTTAAACGAAAATGGGTATGAGAGGAGACATTCCTCAACACGATGAACCTCCATCCCTTGCGGGACGAAGGGGGTCTTTAATAAGAAATTGTCTTGCGAGAGAAACATATCAGGGAAGCTCAGCACATAAGCATCCATCCTCATGTGCGCTAGTTCATTTTTCCCTATTGCAGCAATGCCTCTGTTAAAATATTTATTTGCGTACATCATCGTTGAGCTTAGATTTGACAAGTTTCCGGTAAAAATATAATCATCATTCGTCGGGGCCGAATAAATATACCTGAAGCTCCGGTAAAAATAAAAATCTTGGATCAGCTTTTCCCTCAGTTTCCCGTATTGGGGCCATTGTTGGAACATATTTGAATATGTATCAATATCCGGGACATGTATGTACATAGCAGACTTGGCTAAATCCTCCACGGTGTCGATTTCTGAATAACGCGTGTAAGCACTTAAAAGGTCAAACATTCTACTCTTAATAACCGTGGGAAATATTAAAACAGCGAAGCTGAAAATACAAAAAAGGATTCTCCCCGTGAACAAACGTCCCAGAAGAAGTCTCATTGGTGCCCCACACATGAAGTACTCCCAAACGGTGAGAAAAGCGGACGTCTCCTCGTAAGGTAATAACTCCCCGGTTGGGTACAGCCGACTGAATATTCTAACCTGAGAGTACTGGAATAAATATTGCATGAGTAAAAGCACAAGAAGCGACATTAAGAGACATAACCAAACGGAGGGGTCAACACATTTAATGAAAACCAAGAATTGGGGTACGAAAACAGCACGCGGGGTCACGATACACAAACTGCAGTGTTCAATGGTGCCTGATGCGTCGAAATTTGCGAAATCGGTAGTTTCGTGTTCAGGACTGAACCCATTCATCGCGATAAAAATATCCGGCCCAAATCTCTGACCGCCCTCGTAATAATCGTATCCTTCCGGTTCTTCAAATGGCAAAAACAGGCATTTTTTGGATTCTTGAACACCTCTAAGCGCATCGGACAAAATATCTTCCCAGAGAGTGAACATAGAGGCTTTTTCTGTGTCGATGTCCTCAGTAATTTTGACCGAAAATTCCCAACCACCCCAATCATCCCAATCAAAGTTGACTTGATTGTCGGCACCCGAAATTGGGTACCGTAACACATGTTTCGCGAACGGGTTGTAGTAGAAGCAATCCACTTGAAGGCAAATAACAGTTTTTATCCCTTTGAAGAAGCGCCACATAAATTTGAAGAGGAACTGCAACTCCGACCCTATTCGCGCCCTTTTCCCTCCGGCCACAGGTTTATCTTCCAGTGATGACCTCAACTCATTGCTCGCTTCGATTGAATAAAATACTCCAACCTCGGAAGGACTTACGACAAAGATCAGATGGTTTTTACAATTCCAAATTGGGTTGCGAAATAGACCACGGGTAGCATTATAAACGTGGTCGCTCAGTTCTGCGCCGTGTTCCATCTCTGAGTAGGTAATGAACAATTCAAAATCGCATTTATGTTTGTTCACCGCGAATCCGAAGAATGGGTCAATATGAATGCAATAATTGGGTATACTCGTTAAGGTTCCATTCACATACTCTTCAGCATAGTTGAATTTCGAATAATTTCCTTGATATGATTGGAAAGTTCCATTTCCATTTTTAAAATCATTCTGCCGGTAGCTCGTGCTCCTGGCTGAGGAAGCTAGTATCGAATCGAGAATATTTTTGAAACTCCTCACAAAGAAAACAATGTTTTTTCGAGGAGAACTTTGAGTAAATTCTGCAAGACACCAGATATTGTCACAGACGGTTGTAGTGATCGAACTTTCATGCAAGCGTTCCAAAATGTTGCCGACAGAAAACCTGACGTCAGTGTTGACAACGTAAAAGAACGATTGCTTAGAGAGCTTCACAGCGTTTTTGCAAACGTCCACAACTGTGTCAGTTAGATTATTTTTTAATTTTCGTGGATGTAAGAGAGTTGTTTTAGAAATACAAAGTATTATTACCATTTGGATGAAAAGGGACATTCTCATGCGGTTGAAAATCCAGGCCGCACCAGCACCACACTAAACACAATTCAGCTTTATATTCCGTGTTACTTGATATGTGTGCTACTGACTTCTGTCACAGAGTATTCTACCTTCCTGACTGATATTTTTGAAATTGCATGGACTAACACTGACATTTTCAAGTTATTGATTTCAATATTCTCAACGGAATGGAGAGAAGGCACCGCAAAAAATTTGCTGAAAAATATATGAATATTTTAGTAAACGTACAATTTACAGCACATTGGTTCGATATCAACCTTGATTTGAAATATAAAGTGACAGAGTGACCTTCTTAAAAACACTCGGACGTAAAAAGAGAAGCTCTTAGATGTCATTCTAAAATTATTTCAAGATTAGTCCGCGTTTTACCGATTCAATAATGACATTTTTATCCTCGTGGAATTTCAACACCAAGCTAAGTTGTTGCTGTAAGTACATGGTGTAGGTAACCTTGGACCTATTGCATGTAGGCAACTTTTTTTGAGAATAAATTTAGCTCCTGACATGTGCGAGTATGGACTGGTAACGTACAGAGTGTTCCAAAAGTCCAGCACCCCCCCCCCTCTAACTTTTAAACGGTTCGAGATACAAAAATGAAACTTTGGGAATGTTCCTATCTCAAAAGGGACCATTTTTTTTTTGGGGGGGGGCAACTTTTTTTTCAGATAGCAACCCCCATCGTTAAATTTTGGTTAAAAAACAATTATCAGAATAGCTTAACTTCGTACCTTGTCTAGTCCATTCGAAGCATTGTTAGACACTTTATATGAGGGTAAAGAAAGGAAAGATAACCTCCTTCAGAATTAATTATATGCCCATAAGAAAGAAAGGACAGTACTATGACAAAAAAAAATTATGTTGTTTGGGGAAAAGGTGATTCATTGTTGTGGGCCCCTAGGTCCGTGTCAGTATGTTGAAATTCGGCCCTGTTCCCATTCGCAAAATGCAGTTCAATTACAAGACGTGATTCAAAGATACGTGAGCGATGCTGAACCAAGGAGCCACTCAAGGTTCAATAAATTGGAAAACGAAGTCAGCTAGAGGTTCCTGACTTCCTTGTTTATAGTTATTTTATGTCTCGTAATTTCTGCTCGGATTATCATTCCGCAAAACAGATCGATCTACATAACAACTTAAGGTGAACCCTAACCGCTCTAGGTTCTTATCAGCTCGGTCATCCATTTATGCTTGAGCATCGAATTCGACCAAACTCAGCATCCATGCTCTAATCCTGAAGTCTCATCCATCCCCGAGAAGATCCTTTCTTTATTAAATACGAGGAGGGGGGGGGGCTCACCCATTTTTCTCCAAATTATTTTTTCGATATGATTTGGAGCCAGCAACACCCGCGCCCCGAGTGACTTGATTCCGAACTAAATAACGGAACAACCCATTTTCCTACTGAAACAGCGCTTTCCTTGAAAATTGTATATCTCCATCGAATCATCAGCTGATGCCTAACCTCTCAATCGGTCGCCTCGAGTGTCAATCAAAATTACAGTGGTTACAAACTAAAAGCCCAAATGCTGAAAACTCGGCAAAAGTACGCTGAGCTTCGACGGAAATGGAAAACAAGAGCATCGACAATTTTCTGGAAAGCGTTCGATTGACATTTAAAGCTTAGTTTCGGACGTGATCCCAGGAACGACCATGTAAACAAAGCAATGAAAGCCCCATGAGTGCCCTCGCTTATCAGGCTCTCCTGACGGGATATCTCCTCCTCTTCCTTATCTTCTGCGTCTGTGTGGTCATTCTACTCATTTATCTACTCGTCATCTACTTTAGAAATACATGAAGTGTCCTCTGTGATTTGTGTATTGTGTCTCTCTTAGGTTTTAAAGAAATTAATCCAGAATATTTTCTCTTATTCCTCATTTTTCTTTTCTCAATGATCCGAATTCGCTTTTATGCGCTTGCTATGTGCTTAAAAAATTAATCTGGGGTACCGTCCCCTCATCACGTTGATAATTTTTCCCGCGCGAATTTCCCATTTATCTCCTGTCAAAATTTATCTTGTGTGAATTTGTCCTTGTTTGTGAAATCCATCTTCTCACTCTTTACAATAAAAAGGGAGAAAAAAACTTAACACATTTTCCCACTGACTGTGTCTTTATGGGGATTATCTCTCCCTCTTTGCTGACAAACTGTCTGGCAAAATTGTCATTCTCGTGAGATTTTGAGGGCTGACCAATGGAAATGGAGGAGGAAGATGAGCAGCTCTTCCTTTTCCAAGTGACCGCGGAGAATATCGTGATAACAGACAGATCGTGTCTGTCCGAGGCGGGCGGAACCGGCCTGGTCTACGTGAAGGTTTTGTACCCAGGCTTGAACTGGATCGAGTTGGACCAGGTGGACTTTTGCTCGTTGCAGGAGAAGCCTCAGCCAAAGGAGAAAGATTCATCAGCCTCGATGAATAAAGTCCAGTCGAGCCAGATATTCTTCTCCAAGGAAAACATCGTCTGCAACGAAGGTAAGGGATAGAAACATAGTGTCAATTGGCAAATAGGCAAAATCACGTATCTCCATTGCTGGGTGGCATTTGTCAACGGAAACACCGCGATATTTTGAAATTAGGACGACTTTTTGGGAGATGCTGTACTTTTTGATCAATCGAACAACATTTTGCAACTATTAGGAATCACTGTTTCTGGCTTATTTCAAAAGGAACGTGTGTCCCCCCCCCCCNACCCTGGTGAAAATTGGCGATAAGAGCTGCGTTTCAAAATACCATAGGAATTCTTATTGCCGGCTAAAGAAGGCTACAGAAAATCATATAGCTGGCTGTAGAATGCGGAGAAAATCATACGGCCGGGCTATACGAGGCGATAAAAAAGTATGCAGCCGGGCTATAGTTCCTATCGCCGGGCTTTACACTTTATCGCCGGGCTTTACACTTTATCGCCTGGCTGTTGCTTGTTCGCCATCGATTATAAAAGGCTATAACAAATTGTGTAGAAATCTGTGTGCTTTGGAAATCATTAAGTTTTGATACGGAACCACCTTAATATTTACAAAACACACATTGTATTTTCCTTTAATACATATTTTTTTTCATCAATTAAAATGAGAAAAATCCATACAGGATGTGCAAACATTTCAAAATCATGAGTTGAATAACGCTGACTCCACCAGATTAAATATTAGAGCCTAACACAAGCGGAGCGGTGACGCACTGGTGCCTACAAACCTAACAGGGATACTTCACGCATTGCGCAACGCGAGAAGTATCCCTGTTAGGTTTGTAGGCGCCAATGCGTGTTTCGAGCTGGCTGCCCGCCTGCCACGGCGCTTGAAGCAACTATTTCACACCAGAGGTATTGCACAGTATCATGCGAAACTGAAGGCGCTCTAATATATTAGGAATGGCAGACATTCATCAAAAGTACGGAGCTTTCCTCGCAAAATAAGTCAAAATCTACGGCCCAAAAAGAGAGCAGTATTCCAAAAACTCACTAATTCCTAGCATCCATAATTAAGAACGTTTAGCATACACTTTATCGCCTGGCTGTTGCTTAATCGCCATCGGCTATAAAAGGCTTTAAGAAATTGTGTAGCCGGCTATAGAAGCTATTGGAAATCTTACAGCCGGCCGTAGGTCTATGGTATTTTGGAGCACAGATTCTACTGCCAATTTTTACCAGGGCCATTAGCTTCTTCATGCAGATGGGGGCTTTTACGAATGAGCCAGGGATTGGAGCTCTTTATTTGGAAAATAATGACCAATCGGAATCATCGTAGCTACTTCAGAAACGGACGGCATTATTGGACGGTATTAACCAAAATCATCCTAATTACGTTGAATGTTGCTGTATTCCTTTGGATGTTTTATTCTTCATCAGAAAACTAATTGATTTTTTGCATCGAAAATTTTCGAGGGTCTCAAAGCAAAGAAATTCTCTGGAAGATACGAGGTGTTTTGTTTCATAGCTCTCTGTCATAAAAAAAAGGAGAGGAAGAAAGGCAACATGAAATTCAGTTGGGCTAATCTCAGTTGATACTGCCCAATTCAAACAGGAAAATCCGTTGAGCTTAGAGAAAGCTTCCTCTTTTCCGTTTATGCAGCATTTTTCTGCGGATGCAATTTCGTATTCACCCGTTCTGAGTTGTGTGCGATATTGGAAGAGTTTAGTCTCATCAAAACGGAGTATCTTAGAGGTGCGTTAAATTCTGAGCATCGCAACCAAACTTGCAGCTATCCCCTGTCGGGAGGGGGTTGTGCTTTGGAAGGGTGGAAGGGTCTGAGGGGAGGGGACTAGCGGGGTAAGGTAACTGGCGCCACTCTGAGCCGTACCGCCGAATAAGTGGATTCCGTCCACGAGTTATATCCCTAAAAGCCGAAGATGCCGGCGGATTGATATGCATTTTAGTGGCGAGGCATATACGATCGATTATCGATATTTCCCAATTTAAGGCTATGGTAAAGAATCGATTATTTTAGGTGTTCCTTGCGAGCACCCCGTTTATCGATCTTTTCCAAGGTTTAAATGGCAGATCGATTGATACATCGCAAAGCACGCCACGCCACTGATGCATACCTCTTCAGTTTACACCCTAATTTAATCCAAATCTGATTTAATTAGAATAGATAACTTACCGATTAAATTTTCATTGGGATTTACTCACGTTGGGACATTCTACAGACTGTCTCAGGATTCAATTTCCAGACTGCAAGAGCTAGTGGCGCTTCTTGAAAGTTGGCAACTCTGTTTTTCCTCAATGGACCACTAGACAAGGTACGAATTTCAGCATTCTGATACATGTTTCTCAACCAAAATTTTACGTAGAACACGATACGCACAACGAAAATTACCAAAATCAACTCCTGACGAAGATATTTAATGATTCTTGATGCGTGAATTCAAACCACCCGCTCATGAAAACTCAATGCTCTACGTGATTCACATCGCGCGCTAAATGTTTATCATGACAGTCTCTGCGATGTAAAAATCTTCAACTTCAATCTTGACACTTTGGCCCAGCTATAGCAAAATACCAATAGTTTGAACAACACATGGTGGAAAATGAACATTGCTCGATTGAGAAGCTTGCTGAAACCGTTGTAGTGCGCGATTTGACTCACGTAGAGCTTTGAGTTTCTTGTGAGCGGGCAGTTCAAATTCCTCGTAATCAGTGCGAAATAAAAACGTTAATATCTTCGTTAGAAGTTGATTTCGGTAATTTTTGTAGTGTGAATTGTGTTCTACGTGAAATTCTGGTTAAGAAACATGTATCAGATTGCTTAAATTCGTACCTTGTCTAGTGGTCCATTATGTGCATTAAGACATGAGCCCTGATACCCATAAGAATATGCACATAACAGGGCTCACGTCATAATGCACATAGTTCCGTTTGATATGAATACGTCCGTTTAATATTATATTGATGTAAAACAATCGATCCTTGATTAGGCAGCTATATTTTCAATGAATTTATAAATGGAGCAAAAACAGCAAAATCCAACGCGCAAGAATCGCCACTGCACTGCAGTAGCGTGGTTTATGGGCACATGTACGAATTTTTCACTATCTAAAGATTTTTCCAAGAGGGTCCCTGAGAGAGCCCTCTTTCCTCTCTCCACTCATAACAAGTGCCAAATAGCGTCTCAAGCTGCATTGACACCCATTCTTGCTGTTTTTGTTGAAACAATAACAAAAAACATTATTCCAAATAGTATCTCTACTATGTTCAAGAGACGTCCGGTCTCTATGAAAAGACTTCCGTTTGATTCAACGAGATATCATGTCACGGTTGAATGGAACATTTTCCTGGGTGCATCGCATTAGCCAAAAATGGACCGCATCTAGGAGAAAGGAACCAAGCCGTACCAGCTCACAGTTATCTTGAAGCAAAAGAAAATGCGACAAAAATGTATCAAAAAACGGTTTGCAAATTTCAGTGAATTTTTTGCACAGTGTAAAGCTAATTCCTCAAAATGTTCAAAAGAAGTCGTGCGAGCGTTCTCTTGTAAAACATTAAATTGCCCAGTTAAATTTGACAATATCTCACAGAGGTCTTGAAGCAAAATAATATGCGACAAAAATGGATCCAAAAAACGGTTTGCAGGGGCTAAGTCTATACATGTGAACTTAAAATCGCGGAAAATCAAAATCTTGGCTGATCCTAATTTCGAGAAACTGCAATTTGAAATTTTTATAATGAATGCAAGTTTTTACTGATTTTGATCAGTTTTTTTTATTTATTTGTCCTTAGAATCTGTGTTCGGTTCAAGGTTTTATTCTTCGTCCGATTCATTTCGATCAAATACATGCCTTTTCGTTAGATGCCTACTTCCTATCATACTCTTTTTTTAACTGAACTATTCACCTTCTGCTGCGACTGCAGCAATTGTTGTTACGAATATGTCGTGCGTGCTGATTTTAGCCCTTTACATACTCGACTCACTGAAGGCGTTTTTTGTGAACAAGTAGACCAATCTGTCGGAGAAAGAACGAAGTAGGGATTGAGCGATTCATTCAATCTCACCTCCGTTGTTCTCCAACAGGGTGCTCTGCGCTCGCACAGCAAACGCCTTCGAAGAGTCAAGTATGTAATGGGCTGAGATCAGCACGCACAACATATTCGTAACAACAATTGCTGCGGACGCAGCTGAAGGCGAATTGGAAACACGTTCGAAATAACTTTATAGGGATATCATGTTACGGTTGAGCGAAACATTTTCCTGGGTGCATCGCAATAACCAAAAATGGACCGTATTCAGGAGAAAGGAACCAAGCCATATCAGCTATTGTCTAATTTAACTAGGCAATTTAATTCTTTAACAAGAGAACGTTCGTGCGACTTCTTTCGAAAATTTTAAGGAATTCACTTCGCACTATGCTGAAAAATCACTAAAATTTGCAAAAAAAAAAAAAAAAATCCGCACAACCATTTCCCTTTGAAAAATTTAATTGCTCGATTAGATTCGGCAATAGCTGATGTGGCTTGCGGTTCCTTTCTGCTTTAAGGCATACACACGGCGATTCCCATCGAGTGAAAGACGAAAGCCAATGTAGAACCTTGATTTCGATCCATTGACGTCGGTATATCGGAATCAAGGCTCTCCATTGGCTTTCGTCTTTCCCTCACGGCGATTAATCGCTGTGTGTATCTAGGCCTTTACGCGGTCCAATTACTTGTCTCTTCATATAGGGAAATCATTCCTGATCTCGATGCGGCCCAAAGCACTGCTGTCCCACCTAACAACGAGCGACCTGGAGATCACCCTGTATCAAGCCGTTCTCATCGACGAGCCATGGGTGATCGCCTCACACGAGACGAAGATGAGCGCGGAGATGTCGCGGTTGGTGGAAGAGGCCCTGCGACACCCGGACCTGCGGGAGGGCCCGGCGGCGATGGACAAGCAGTTTCCGCTCAACAGCGCCTTCGGCCAGGTCTGCGGCTTCCTGCAGTGCACGCTCTGCCTCTCCTGCGCCGGCCCCACCGCCGAGTTCGCCCTCCGCAACGCCTGCTACGTCCGAGACACCGAGGACGAGGAGGGCGTCCACCTCGAGGATGAGATCGTCGATGTCGAGAGGGCTAGTGTCGATACCGTCGCGGGCGTTGATGTCCGAGCACCCTTGCCCAGTCAGCATAGTAAGGTGAGGTATCATTCTGTGTTTAAGAGAAAATATGTTAACAGCAGCCTGATTGTTGAAATTGTGTGTTTGTCGGGTAGATATAGATAACATAGGTTAAAAGGCGGAGGGTGATTGGTTGGCTATGTATTATCGCTGCTTTGTCGTGCCTATGTCGGGTGGAACTCAGGACAAGCTAAAGGCACCTCTTAAGTTTCCGACAGTATGTCGTCCATTTCTTCTGACAAACGCACGACAAAGCAGCGATAAGACAGCCGACCAATCACGCTCCGCCATTTAACCTATGTCATCTATGTCTACCCGACAAACACAAAATTTTAACGATCAGGTTGCTGATGTGGTAGCTTACCCTCGATCACCACTCGCCACTTAGTAGTGGGCATACTTCAGATTACGAATTTTCCACGATGGCCATTTCGGATTAGCCCTTCATTATCAGGTGTGTTGTTTTCACTCCAGACTTATGGATGTAATGTCCCGGGTCGGTCACATAGTGACGAGCCACAAACCGAAACCGAAATAAAAACACGAAAAAACTAAAATACTAAGAAACTAAAACCGAAAAACTAGCAGCAGCTAACTAAAACAAAAACTGAGGAAAGTAAACGGAAAAACGACGGTTGTTTCATTATTACTGTTACTCCTGATTCCGTTGCCAAAAGAACATATGTACCGGTTGTTGAGAAAATATGTACCGCGTGAAGCAAAAAGGAACCAAGCTACACCAACTATTACCAAATTTAACCGGGCAATTTAATTTTTTACGTGAAAACGGTTGTGCGAATTTTTGTGCGAATGTCTGCGAATTTTCTGCATAATGCGATGCAAATTCCTTAAAATTTTCAAAAGAATCCGCAAAAACGTTTTCTTGTAAAAAAATTAAATTGCTCAGTTTAATGTGCCAATAGCTGATGAGGGTTGGTTCCTTTTTCCTGAACGCGGTCCAAAAATGTGACAGGATCTATGAAAAGGGACCTTAGCCAAATTCAAAATTGAGTTATTGGCAGCACTGCAGATGAAGAACATCCGCAGGCTGATCGTTGAAATCGATAGACATAGCTATATACGAAGAAGCCAAAGGAATTTGGAAGGATCCCATCGGTGGAAGTGGGTGGTTGCAATAGATAAAGAAGGTAGATGATAGACTAACCTACGACAACCCACGAGAGATCCTGTGATTAGTCCACCATTTTCTCCCATAGTCTACTCGTATAGGAACCAACCATTTCAACCAACATGATCGTTCCACACTCCTTGTGTCTTCTTTGTCTTTCGTTTTGTCTATCAATTTCAAAAATCAGCCCACAGGAGATTATGTTGCAAGTAACACCACCCTAGACAAATATCGACCCGCAAAAAACGAGATCAAGTGTTGAATTGAGAACTCCAATCTTAAACGCCCATCGGCGAAATTGACATTTCGACAATCATAACATCACTTGGGTGCTACATGTACAATTCGCTCTTAGTTGTTGTCTGCTTTCCATGTGCGAAACATTAGAGGCGTTCTAAGATCTTCTGTCTGTCAACGATGACACATCTTGCTCGTTTTTGGATTCAGAGAGAGACCTGCGGGTTGATTAATGAAATTGGTAGGCAGAGCCATAGACAAAGAATATAATGAGCAAATGGAGGGATCCTATCAGTAGAAGCAGCTGATTGCAATGGACAAAGGAGGTAAGTAAAGACTAAATAATGGCGGCTCATGAAAGACCCTATACTCTGTCCATCAATGTTTCGCTGATTTTTACAATCCATATGTTTCAACCATTAAGTGGATCGTTCCATCTTTACTTTGTCTCCTTTGTCTATGGCTTTGTCTAAAAGTTTCAATAATCAGCCAGGAGAGAACTAAGCGTTTTCGCTTTAAGGCGCAAATTGCCCTCAGAAACTTCCACAAACATTGCTTGCACAACAGTGTTGGTGATTGCCCTGAGCTACTGCTGCCGTTCAAAACTCCTTCAGTTTTGAAAGTATGCAATTTGCACTCCGGAGAGTTAAAATAGTTGCTTGTTGCGTTTCAATGCTTTTGAATGGGTGTATATGAAGGAGTCTGTTAAAATTAAGCCGAGCAACCTTTCTCTCACAATTGAACCCGAGGTTATCGTGAAATGAGCCATACAAATAGTTTCTTGATAAAATGTAAGTGAAGATCATCACATCTTGCTAAAATTCATCCGAATACCTTAATTTTTTAACCTAGTTTTCTTGATGAGGTTTTGGTAAGACTTTTTGGCATCCTTTTGCTATGATTCTCTCCAATGTGTAAAAAACATAAACAGAGGTCGAGAAATTCTTAAAAAAAACCTTTTTAAATATCCAAGTTAGGAAACCCTTTTTGTTCTTTCTTATGCAAAATCTCATCTCCCTTTTTATAAGTTGTTTATCACTTCATTCCACTCCATAATAGAAAATCATAAGGCAAACGCGTACGCCTGAAAAGCAAAGCGATTTGGAGGGCGTAACCTTCTAGTTCTATAGTAAATTTTAACAAAACTTTTATTCAAATTTTCCTTTGAATTTTTATTTTTCATGTCGCATATTTTGTGGTTTTTTCTGTTTCAAGGATCAGTGTGAGTGATTTTAGAGTGTAAAAAAAGTTTTGAGGTCAACTGTTTATGCTATTCTTAAAACGGAGAGTTCACATGCAAAATTTTTATTTCTTCATCTGAAAGTGCTTAAAGAGCTGATTTCACAGTATTTTTTATTATGTTTTTCTGATATGGAAAATAGTATATAAAAATAGCTTTAAAAGTGAGAAAATGCACCGCCTAGTGACGTCATCTGGCAGCATTTTCCATTTAAACACATGTATCATAGTAGATTAGATCATTTTGAAATATCTTCTCCAATAATTGTTCAAATCATGAAGCAATGGTATCCTCGTGTTCAGTTCACTCGGTAGTTTCCACTTAAACATGAAATTTATCGAATTTCAGACACCTACAAATTCTGTATTGTCCGACAAAAATTGTAGAAATAAGTTAATTAAATACGAACAAAAAATGCCTCCCTCATTCGTGCACTTCAACAATTTTTATTATATCTTTAAAGTCCAACTTTAATAGTCAATGCTAACAGTTCAAGATTGCTTTAATCGCAGGTGGCGCGGCTCCTAAAGGCAGACGATCCTTTCACCTACTTCAAAGGCGTCGAGGTGGACGAACTGGTCAAAAGCGACGAGTACCTACTCGGCGGGCGCACCCCCTCCAACGCCCGGCAGATCCCCGACAACAACTCCATCGCCCTCCTCCCCGAGCCGCGAGCCGTCATCTCCGAGACGACATGCGACACCTGCCGCGGGGGCGTTTTCAGCTCCATCGATGACGTCACTCTCGATGACGTCAGCGACGATCGGCGGAAACTGTCTATCCTACAACTTTCGGATATCCTGAACGAGATGCTTCGCAAGAGCGACAAGAGCCCGTCGAAACCGCACCGGGAGCTCAGTTCCTCCACGATATCGGACATCACAGTTTCCACGCGGAAGACCAAAAGTCAGAAACTGAGGACAAAAAGTGAAGAAAAATCTGGGGAAGGCTTCAAGCGAACAAATTTTGAAAGGCATTCGCTGGTGAGTATTATTCTTGATGCTCCGCTCGGCGCACAGTGCGGCATCCTTACACGTATTAAGTCCTAGTATCTGTATTCAATAACGCTTTACATGATTTTTGAACTCCTTTATAGGAAAAAGTGATTTGGTTCAAGCATTTTACCGCCGAGAAGATCTCCTTATGAATCGATAAAGAGAAGAATGCCTGCGTGAAGAAGAAAAGATGCTTATATACAAAGAAAAGTCAGTTACATTAAGCAGAAACCCGCTCTCATTCAGCAATTTTATTTTTGATTCAAAACAGAATCTTTTTGATGGCATACTTAAGAATGTTTTTGCCTAAATCGAGTCATTTTTTTCTCTCATGATTTCCATAAATTATGCTAAATGTTATGAAATACAGATGGTAGGACTTGATGAGTTTTTGGACTACCGCTCTCTTTTTGCGCCGTAGTATATTGATTTATTTTGAGAGGAAAGCTCCGTACTCTTAAAGGATGCCTGTCATTTAATATGCTGGACCTTTAATTTCGTTTGTTTCAGTGCAAAAACTCTGTCGTGAAATACTTGCTTGAGGCGCCGCGCCGTGGCACGCTGCGGCGCGGCAGGCGGGCGGCCAGCGCTTAACGCGCATTAGCGCCTACAAACCTAAGGGGATACTTCAAGCATTGCGCAATGCGTAAAGTATCTCTATTAGGTTTGTAGGCGCCTGTGCGCGTTTCTCACCAGAGCACAGTGCGGCATCCTTAAGAACGATGCGGACAATAATCGGTAAAAGATACTTAACTTTAAATAATGAAGATAGTAGCACCGACATAAGAAAACACCTTGGCACTATCAAAGTAATACACTCAAGGAATAAGAAACTGCTATACCTCAGGACTTTTTGCATATTTTTCGAGAGAAGTTCATTTGAAGTTGGCAACCTCGAATTAGTCCTATGTTGACAATGTAGAAGCAACGTGAAACACCCAAACTTAATAAGATGCTTAAAACTTAGCAAACTTAGTAGCAATAAAATCCTACTTCCTTAGTAGGGCGGCAAAATTTCATGAATAATAAAATCTTCAAATTTTGCGTGAAATATTTCATGAAATTTCAGAAATNTTGCCCACACAACGGGTATCACAAGAGGTGCATACAAAGGTTCGAGATTTCAAACTAGCGGATCCACAATTTGATTTGCCTGGAGAAATCGACATGCTGTGTGGAGCCGACCTCCTACCATATCTACGCCTCAGAGCACCCGTGGTCTTAGGTGCAAACATGCCAATGGCCATACCGACCATTTTTGGCACGGCCTTGATGGGCCCCACGGCGGTGCAAGCACAGCATTTGCACTGTGCACACTGCAATACACTGTTAAACACGGAAGCACCTGTGATACACAAAGTATTTCACATTCAAGCTGATCGACCGAAAAATTTCGTCGGAAACCGTGAAAACAAATTCAAGTCGTCGCACTCCGACATTAATAAGAGTGTCTTCAAATCAAAGGGGAACCTCACCCTAACTCAATTGCGGACCCAAAATGCGTCCCCTAGAATCAAAACAGCGGCAAGCTCCTCCGTTATCCCCAAACAAAGCGAACGTTCTTCGCCTGACAAAAACCTTACCCCTCAACGACATTGGCCCAAACGGATCTCTCCGTTATCGGATGGCTCCTGTTCGTCTTCCACCTGCGTTGACGTACCAAGAACAAAATACAAATTCAAGAGATTACCATCTCATAATCCACCCTGTTCTTACGATGATCCAGTCAAATCATTCTCCTCCCGCAAAACGAGAAAAATCATCAGAGCTTTGAGATGGCGATCTCCTACCGGTGTCCAAACCTGGGCCCGCACCCTTGGGTCAAATATAGTTGAACACGGGGGTTCAAAGCGGGGAGGATGTTAAGGATCAGCTTGTCCGCCTCCTTGCAACCCGGGCAACTGCGCGGCGAGCATTCTGCGACCGCGCTTGCTATATTCGCCACCAGGGCGCGCTCGGCGCAATTCTGCCGTTGCGGTCCCTTTTAAGGCAAATTAAAGGCCACAAACTGCGACCTTTTGCCTTTTGGCGTGATGGGCACATGACCCATGGACTTTCAACCCGTCTTACCGGGATTTCCAGCTGAAAGGCTCAAATGGAGCCTTTTGGCAGCGCTCTGTGCGCGGCCATCCCGTCAATGGGGCCCGCACCCGTTTCACCTGGGCTCTGCCCACTTCCTTCACTCATCACTCGCGATTTCATTGTATCAAGGCTCTTCTACAAATTTCCTGAGTTCATTGTCTCAAGTTCTTCCTACAATTACAAGTAAGCACGTGTAAGTATACGGAGCAGCTAAGCATTTCGGCGCTCCTTCTCTTCTTCGGCGCTACGTTCTTACGGCGCTAAGATCTCTTCAACAAGGGTTGCCACGACTTTCGGTACCCTTCTTCGGCGCTACGTTCTTGCGGCGCTAAGACTTCCTCAACAGGGTTGCCACGTCATTCGGTACTCTAATTCTCTTCTTCGGCGCTACGTTCTTACGGCGCTAAGACTTCAACAGGGTTGCCACGTCTTTCGGCACTCTGAACTCCGCTTCTCTTCTTCTGCGCTACGTCCTATACGGCGCTAAGTCTTCTTCAACAGGGTTGCCACGTTTTTCGGCACTCTGCTTCGGCGCTAAGCTTTACGGCGCCACGAACTCTTCCTTCAAGGGCGATTCTCAATCTGACGCCCCCTCCTTTTTCTCTCTTTCTCTCTTCGTCACATTCTTTCAACTTCTCCGTCAATCTACAACTCTTTCTCACTCTACATTTCTTCTTCTTTCTCTTCCTAAGTTATTCTTGTTGCCCTGCCTTTAAGGTGGCTGCCTGCGAGACTATCCTCGGGATGACTTCTTTTCTTCTTCTCTTTCCTATCCCACTTTTCTAGGTGTTCTCTAACAAGTTCCATAGTAAATTTTAGCAAAACTTTTACTCAAATTTTCCCTAAAATTTTTATTTTTTATGTCGCTTTTTTTTTTGGTTTTTTCTGTTTTAAGCATCAATATGAGTGATTTTAGAGTGTAAAAAAAGTTTGGAAGTCAACTGTTTATGCTATTCTTAAAACGGAGAATTCGCATGCAAATTTTTTATTGCTTCATCTGAAAGTGCTTAAAGAGCTGATTTCACAGTATTTTTATAATGTTTTTCTGATATGGAAAATAGTATGTAAAAATAGCTTTAAAAGTGAGAAAATGCACCGCCTAGTGACGTCATCTGGCAGCATTTTCCATTTAAACACATGTATCATAGTAGATTAGATCATTTTGCAATATCTTCTCCAATAATTGTTCAAATCATGAAGCAATGGTATCCTCGTCTTTAGTTCACTCGGTAGTTTCCACTTAAACACGAAATTTATCGAATTTCAGACACCTACAAATTCTGTATTGTCCGACAAAAATTGTAGAAATAAGTTAATTAAATACGAACAAAAAATGCCTCCCTCATTCGTGCACTTCAACAATTGGACGTATTTCTACCAAACAGACTTATGTGGAGGTGAGAAATATGGGGTGTGCTCTAGAAAACTGCATAAGAAGCAATGTAAAAGTGTGCGTGATTCCTTTTGAAGAATTGGAAAAGCGGGATTTTACATTCTATCAAACAGACCTATGTGCCAACTGAATGCGGCAGTCATGAGCCGCGGGCATGGCAAGAGAGCGTTGTGGACAGGGCTCATGAGTTAAAAGAGTCCCGCCCAAGACTCCCCGTTGTGCCGGCGCTCGTTCGTTGCCGCTGACGTCACGGGCGCTTTATTATTCTCATTCATTCTTACGGCCAGAGAACTAACGAGCACAACCCATATTTCTCACCTCCACATAGGTCTGTTTGGTAGAAATACGTCCAATTTTTATTACATCTTACAAAGTCCTTTAAAGTCTTTAAAGTCATTTTACAAAGTCCAACTTTAATAGTCAATGCTAACAGTTCAAGATTGCTTTAATCGCAGGTGGCGCGGCTCCTAAAGGCAGACGATCCTTTCACCTACTTCAAAGGCGTCGAGGTGGACGAACTGGTCAAAAGCGACGAGTACCTACTCGGCGGGCGCACCCCCTCCGACGCCCGGCAGATCCCCGACAACAACTCCACCGCCCTTCTCCCCGAGCCGCGAGCTGTCATCTCCGCGACCACATGCGACACCTGCCGCGGGGGCGTTTTCAGCTCCATCGATGACGTCACACTCGATGACGTCAGCGACGATCGGCGGAAACTGTCCATCCTACAACTCTCGGATATCCTGAACGAGATGCTAAGGAAGAGCGACAAGAGCCCGTCGAAACCGCACCGGGAGCTCAGTTTCTCCACGATATCGGACATCACAGTTTCCACGCGGAAGACCAAAAGTCAGAAACTGAGGACAAAACGTGAAGAAAAATCTGGGGAAGGCTTCAAGCGAACAAATTTTGAGAGGCATTCGCTGGTGAGTATTATTCTTGATGTTCCGCTCGGCGCACAGTGCGGCATCCTTACACGTATTAAGTCCTAGTATCTGTATTCAATAACGCTTTACATGATTTTTGAACTCCTTTATAGGAAAAAGTACTTTGGTTCAAGCAATTTACCGCCGAGAAGATTTCCTTATGAATCGATAAAGAAAAGAATGCCTGCGTGAAGAAGAAAAGATGCTTATATAAAAAGAAAAGTCAGTTACATTAAGCAGAAACCCGCTCTCATTCAGCAATTTTATTTTTGATTCAAAACAGAATCTTTTTGATGGCATACTTAAGAATGTTTTTGCCTAAATCGAGTCATTTTTTTCTCTAATGATTTCCATAAATTATGCTAAATGTTATTAAATACGGATGGTAGGACTTGGTGAGTTTTTGGACTAACGCTCTCTTTTTGTGCCGCAGTATATTGATTTATTATGAGAGGAAAGCTCCGTACTCTTAAAGGATGCCTGTCATTCTTCATATGCTGGACCTTCTATTTCCTTTGTTTCTGTGCAAAAACTCTGTCGTGAAATAGTTGCTTGAGGCGCCGCGCCGTGGTACGCTGCGGCGCGGCAGGCGGTCGGCCAGCGCTTAACGCGCATTGGCGCCTACAAACCTAAGGGGATACTTCAAGCATTGCGCGTATCTCTGTTAGGTTTGTAGGCGCCTGTGCGCGTTTCTCACCAGAGCACAGTACGGCATCCTCATGATTGAAGCGGGCAAAAATCGGTAAAAGACACTTAACTTTAAATAATGAAGATAGTAGCACCGACATAAGAAAACACCTTGGCACTATCAAAGTAAAACACTCAAGGAATAAGAAACTGCTATACCTCAGGACTTTTTGCATATTTTTCGAGAGAAGTTCATTTGAAGTTGGCAACCTCGAATTAGTCCTATGTTGACAATGTAGAGGCAACGCGAAACACCCAAACTTAATAAAATCCTTAAAAATCAGCAAACTTAGTAGCAATAAAATCCTACTTCCTTAGTAGGGCGGCAAAATTTCATGAATAATAAAATCTTTAAATTTTGCGTGAAATATTTCATGAAATTTCAGAAATTTATGAAAGTTGAAAAATACCGGTTCCTTTTCATGTTACGTAAAGTGCAAAAATCGTGACTCTTCTATTTTGTGTGTTTCAGTGCGGGTTGCATACTTTAACCCCTGAAAAATATGAAATATTTCACAGCCTCGTGAGATGTCATGAAATATTTCACTAAAATTTCCAATCCTTCCATTCTTTCTTACGTTCCATGCCACCCTATTCCTGAGCCAAGCTATCACTCCACGATGTATACACTCAGCAACGTCGTCGCTCCTTTGAAGTAAGGACGTATCTTTATTTGCACGTGAGCCCTGCTTTCCGTTTAACCTCGAAGTTTCTAGAGCTCATGTGGATATAGAGATACGTCCCTACGCCAGATGGCCTCCTGCGTCTCCCAACTTAGAGCATGGGAAAAACTGGGTCGCAGAACGCGGAAGACGGAGGACGGCTCGGTAATGAACTCGGAAGAAAGAGCCCGCGGGGTTGAATCGAGTTAAGTTTAGCGGTTCGCGGATAAAATGTCCGCCTCGCCCTCGCGAATTGAGGCGCGGAAGATTGCCGCTTAAGGGGTTGATGGATCGCATTTCAAACGTCCCCGTCCGGCGCAGTCGAGGGGCCCAACCGGATAGCAGTTCAAACTCGTGGTACCCAGGACTCGTTGTTTGTATGGAGATCCGAGGTTCACGGGTTTTCGGGGCTTGTGCGGGTTCGTGCGCCGGGTCGGAAAGTTAGTTGCGCGCCATCCGCCCTCTATCTATCACCATCGGAACTTCCCTGACCTCGTCAGTGCAGAACTGGGAAATATTTTAATTTATTTCCCCGGCGGCGTCTATCACGCATACCTAATTTCCTCGTCTGGAAAAATAGGGGGCGAGACCGCACCGCGACACTGACACACGGCGTCGTCAGATCGGGGAGGCGAACTTTACGATTCAGTTTTCGAGAGGAATAAAATCGGGTGTGCCTTTTTTTTTCATTTTTATATTTCGACCGCGTTTAGCAGAAAGGAACCAAGCCTCATCAGCTATCGCAAAATTGAATGGGGCAAATTGATTTTTTCAAGAGAACGTTTGTGCAAATTCTTTTTGGCATTTTTAAGGAATTTGCGTTGCATTTTGCAAAAAATGCACTGAAATTTGCACAAAACTCCGCGCAGCCATTTATTAAAAACAGCCACAAAAATTAAACTGCCCGATTAAATTTGGCAATAGCTGATGTGACTTGGTTCTTTTTTGTTTAATGCAGTCCATTTGGATTTTGTATGCTGAGAATAATGCACGCGAACTTTATTGGCATGGTTCCTTTCAGCATAAAATACGTTAATTTGTGGCCACGAGAGAAAATACCTTAATAAACGGTAATGAACCTTTTACTGGATCAATTTTCGTTGCCCCAGACTCGAGAGGGAGTCTATAAAAAAAGTGCCCTTTTTCGGAAAACTTAGGAATTTCATTCAAATTTGACCTAAACAAAATATCATGATAAGACAATCCATCAGCGTTGTTTAAAGTTTAAGTTACAGTTCAAAGCTCTTCTCTGCAATATAGAGTTGCAAATTTTACATTTCTACCATTGAAAAATTCGAATATCTTAAAACTTCTCGGTTAAAAAAAACAACTTGAGCTAATTCCTTTTATATTCTGAGGCACGTTGTCACTATAGGGTGTGTAAAAAATGAAAGTTTAAAATGTCATTGTCGCAGAGCGGCACACCCTTTCTTTCACACTCGCACAGTGTTTGGTCCAATTAATAATTGGACGTATTTCTGCCAAACGGAACTGTGTGCATTATGACGTGAGCCCTGTTATGCGTATATTCTTATGGGTATCAGGGCTTAATGCACATGGTCCCGTTTGGCAGAAATACGTCCAATTAAAATATCACTGATATCAATACTATATTGATTCGCCTTTATGTTAACTAATACACCACCGATCCTCATTTTCAGGTGAACTTCAACCTGCACGGACCCATAAAACTTTTGGGACCGTCTGAAGAACCAAAACCTGTGCATTCCTCGCACGATACATTGACCTCGTTGATGACCTTAGAGGGTGAGTTATGTAGCATGGACAGCAAAGAGGACTTCTCCCTAAGCATCGTTAAACACGCCAGCGTTTACCACGTGTCCATCAAGAACTCAGCCAATCAACTGGATAACGTCCTCAAATTCAAGATTTACGGCAACGACGTGACCCGGAAACGACCCCGAGAAAATAATTCTGTCGGTGTCACGGTCATCCCGACTCGAAGAGAGAGCTGACAATGGCTCCTATCCTCGAAAACTAGAAATATTGAAAGATTTTGCCGTCTAAAGATATCAAACATTGTGTACAGCGTTTAGTTAATGAAATCATCTCCAACGATTCTCTCAATCGGTTCGACGATCTGTGACTGAGACATTATTATCATCTCCGACAATGCCGTACAGACCATGGCTCAATTTGGCCGTGCAAGAAGGCGCTAATGAGCCAAGCTGACGTTGAGTAAGGCCGTACCCGCATCCCTGATCCATGTTGACACAGAAAACTGAGATTCAACCATTTTGAAGGCATTTTTCGTCACGACATCATGGAACTGCGGCGGCCAATCTCAAATTGTTCCCTGTATCCTTTATTTACACCATCATTCTCCCAAGAACTCTGTTCATGTAGCCACAAGTATCCTCAGACAGCAGCGATAAGTTAAGTTCCGAGAATTATGAGGTAGGCGCAACTCTCCGGTTGCCACTAATCAGACTCCATCAAGGTCAAGGCGAACTAAAATTTTTGAAAAAGTATGTCAATGCACGATGACTTTATTTTGCGGATGCATTTTATAGTGCATAGTACCCTTGAATGTCTACATCTACATATTATTGTATTCTAATAAAAAAAAGAGCCGATTTCTTGTATTGACGAGATCAGGGTATTCACCACGCCGATTCTCACGTTATCTGTTTACGAGTGTAGCGATGCATTCGAGGATTTGCCAAATTCGACCAGATCCGAACCTTTGAAATTCCTCATTTTTCTTTTAAAGAAAAAATAAGAAAGGTTTCGTTTACGTAGGTATAGTCCGCGGGTTTCTCTTTGTTGCGTTGCCAGGTCATTCACTCCTACACGGAAAAAAAATTGCTGATTCAACGATTCAATTGCTAAAAACAGTGAGTGCAATGTTTCAACGCAGATTTTACAACAAAAAAATGCTACTTTAACCACATTGTAAACTAATTTAACCACGGGGGTGGTTAAAGTAGCATTTTTTTGTTGTAAAATCTGCGTTGAAACATTGCACTCACTGTTTTTAGCAATTGAATTGTTGAATCAGCAATTTTTTTTTCCGTGTAGGTCTCGCCTCCGCTCCCGTCGAAGTTGTAAAAATGTCTCAGGTCGCCTCCCGATATTTTCGAAGCCTCGTGAAATCCTCTGGCGGCTTCAATAAGTGGTTCACTTTTTCCAGGGAGAGATTCCTCAGGCTTTTGGCTTTACAAAATTTTAGGTCATCTTCTTTCTAAGGGTTGTTTGGGAACACACATGCCTACCTAAATAAATACATATATTAAAAAAAAACTGAGAAGAAACATTCACTAGATTTTTTTCAACGCTTTGTCTGAGATTTTATGAGAGCCCACAAAGGTTGGCTTCCATTCATCGATATTATCATTGATTCGTTTTTTATCAGTTCAATCCACCAGTGATCCGATTCGATGATTCTACAGCAATCATTGACGAAAGGCATATTTTCTGCAAGCTTTGGGTCCTGGCTTCTGTTTTACCAAGTTTATAATGGACCGTCGGTTGATTTACATTTCTGACCGAACTGTTTTCTAACGTTTCAGTCAAATAGAACACTTTATTGAGTTGCATCAGCTCGTAAGATCAGTCATTCTATTGATTTTGTGCTCCGAATTTCTTGCGAAACTGCAAACCTGATATCGAAACTTGGCTGTTTCAAAAATGCCTTCGATTACGGCGTGATACCTCACGCATTCCGGAGAGTTCAAATAGTTGTATCATTGCGCCTAAGGAATGCGACAGAAGATTAAAATGGAAGTAGCCTTCATGTACGCTGGCCTTTTCGATTACTTTTGACATTTTTGCAGTGGTGAATGCATAGCTGAAGTGCGCTTCAGCTAGAATTGTATTTAGCAAATGGGTGATTTTTATAGCAGGATTAAAAATAAACAAGTGGTAAGGAATAAAACAAAAGAATATGAACTATGCAAAACGATAATCCGGATATCGAAACTTGGCTGTTTCGAAAACGCCTTAGATTGCGGCGTGATACCTCACGCATTCCGGAGAGTTCAAATAGTTGTATCATTGCGCCTTAGGAATGCGACGGAAGATTTAAATGGAAATAGCCTTCATGCACGCTGGCCTTTTCGATTTCCTTTGACATTTTTGCAGTGGTGAATACATAGCTGAAGAGCGCTCCAGCTAGAATTGTAGATAGATTCGTTCCGAATCGCGAAATGCAAACCAAATGCAATCGTGTGGGGCGAGGGTTAATTTCAGAGGTCAGCGTTTGAAGTTGCCGTATGATAGTTAATGAGCAACTTATCTCACAAAACATTAAATAAACTTCGCCTGATGATTGCTGATCAACGACATAAAGGCAAAGTGCTCGTATCTAAAAGCACGGGGAAAAAGTGAAGCTTGGTTTGGGCCTGGGTGCTTGTGTGAGTGTGTAAATGAGCGCGGGAATCCATGGCGGCAAACGGAAATTTGATTTGAACTTGTCCTCTTGATTTTTTCACATTTCTTCTTCGAAACGAATTTTAAATGCCAAAAACGAATATATTAAGAAAGTTGGGACTGCGACATTTTATAATATACTAATTTTTTTTCGGTAACAGGCAGTAATCTCAGACAAAGTTAGTTTTTGTTTTGCTCATGGTGGTTCTGCCGGTTCAAACCTGACCGTTACTCCTAAATGAAATTAATCGGTCGACGAAGGACCAAAACTAACCTAAAGTTAAACAAATATAAGTTGGTAAGTGAATTTGGGCAAAAATCAACCTAGAATACTTTGTTTCCACAATTTTATTCAGTTCCCGCCCTACATTTGAATTTCAAACTTGTCCCGATTTCGCCGCCAATCCTCTAGCCAATAGTAGAGGTGATTGAAAAGAAGCTTCATTTTAGGCTTTTAGCGCTCCGTTTTCATGTCTTTGTTGCTGATGAATCTCGAGTTGAGCACTTTGCTAGACGTGCTTTTGTAAATTATGTCTGGATTGCCAGACAGTGGTTGCTCAAGCCTCAAGTCATCTGTATACATGAAGTGAATTGGGGTGTTTGACTTCCGGAAGTAAGATATACACCACAGGGGCGATAACAGTGCACGGTTCTTAGTTAAAAATACATTCTTGATGTTTATGATTCTTTAATATATCAGTTAAGGTGGCAAAACGCGGACCTGAAGTTTGGTAGATCTACCTCATTACACTTTTATGTATGGCGTCGCGAATTTTCAAGTTTCAAACCTGGAGGACGGATATCAACAGTGGGTGATAAAAATACTGCAACTCTTTCTCTCACATGACACGTAAACGCTTTCATGCAGTTTCCGACCTTCTAAGTGTCACATCTGAAGTTTTAGCGCTGGTACAAGGGATACGCCGAACTTTTCAATCTTTTGACGTATATCCAAGCGTCATTCTTCATGCTCAGAGAGGAATGTTTGTACCGGTGACCACGAGTTTGAATTGTTCCCGGAGAATCGCGTTTTTCTCGGGAATTTCAACCGCTCCTTTTCTTTTTCTCGTGTTCTTCTTAAATAGCCACAAGACTAGATCAGAATTAGACATAGAGATGATAAGTTCCCTCATCACAATTTTACGGGAAACATATGAAACATATCAAAAATTGCTAAAATTAACTCAGAAAGTCGCCGCCCATTTTTACACATAAATCGCTCATGCGAAAATTGAGATATACGTTCTTATGCCAGAGTAGCGCCGATAAGTGTCGCTCATAAAAAACCCATGTTCATCGCAGGTCAAATTCCTGCCTCTCCTGTTACAAGGTTTCTTTAATTTTGTCCCAAAAAATTTAGTACCCAGGAGTAATTTATTCATCGTAAAATACACCATCATTTTATTTCGGTGCTTGATTTCGCTCAACCAGACTCAAGGTTTTAGGGGACGGGAAACTGTGGATTCAAGTAGACGAAAACCAACATTTTCTAGCTTTATGGGTTGTATTTGTTCCATTTTGTTTGTTTCCATGCGTCTGTCATATTTGACGTAAACTTTTTATGAGGATATCATATGAACATCTAAACCACGCGTCTTGGTTCACAACGTTGCAGACCTCCTGTCATACTTTACTATTTTGATTGTAAAACTATACTCAACGTCAACTTTTGAAAACTCCCGTGATTATTCTTCTCTCGATAAAGAACATTTCGTGAAAATTTCAAGCAACATATGTTAAATCGTTTTCCCTTAAAAAATAAAAAAGGGGGCGGAAATGTTTGAACACTACAAACGAGGTACGTAGTTTGGGAGTGGTACACTCTGGTGCTTAGTTCTGTGCCCTGTTTAATGGTTCAATCTAAACCGTTAAATTGGACCACATTTTGCAATTAGGAACTACAATACCTCGCTAATCTGCCAAAAACATTTATGCGCATAGGAAAAGCAATGGTATGTACGTTGCTCCTAAATTAAGCCAGAAATTGTAGTTCCTTTATTCATTAATTGCAAAATGTAGTTAAATTATGCCTACTCCTGACTCTCCAGAGTCGGCGCGCCTTATACACGTGTAATGATTGTGATCGCTTTCTAGATTGAAGGAAATCAAGGATTGCAAGATCCATGATCAGGTTTTAAGCCCGGTTCAGAAGGTCGAACTTTTTGCCGTGGCTCATTGCATCAATCTGCATCGCTCCGCCGAGTGAATTTGACTCTTCGTATTAGTTTCGCGAAAATTGGACTATTGTTCGAATTTCTGCGCCTGGGTTGGACCTTGAACAGAAGTCCCTTCTTCACCTTGTAAATGGCCCGTCTACAGGGTAATCAAAAGCCCCGCAACACCATGCATGATTCCAGAAACTATTGAACCAATTCTGCCGTGCTAAGGAAGAACGCCGTATGAACATTCGAGAGTTGCCAAAGGAGGAGTTGCGTTTTGGGCCTTTTCCGGCCCCACCTGGATTTTGCTAAATGTTTCATATTTTCAAAGTACTAGTTTTAGGTAGACTCTGTGCCAAATATTAGACCGAACGGAGCCCATGCAAGGGCGCAGCAGCGCCTCAAACCCAAAATCCTGGAATCGAAAAACAATTATTTTCGTCGACTTTTTCGACTGTTATCACTCTCCCAGCACATGATTCTTATGTATT